AATAACAATAACAACATTTACAGAACCCTTTAAGATTTGCAGAGGACTTTACAAATATTACCTGGTTTTATCCTCAAGACAACCCAGGGAGGTAGGTGTTATTATTATCCCTGAGGCAATTGAAGCCTTTCCCCCCCTAGCACTTAGCACAGCATCTGGCATACAGGTGCTCAATGAATATTTATTAACTGACTGAAACAGAGGTTAAGTGACTTGCCAACGTCAAACAGCTAGTAAATGTCTAAGGCTAGATTTGAACTTAGGTCTTCTTGATTCCAGATTTAGTGTTCTATCCACTGTACCCCCTACATATTAGAAGGCAATAGTGTGAGGGGATGGTATAGATAAATGAAAGTTTATTTCTGGAAGCTATACCTCAGTTAAAATAGTCAAAGATGATGTTTGCTTTTTTGGCTGCCATATTGGATCTCACTCATGTTGATCTTGCAGTGTTCTAAAACTCCTTGACTGCTAGTGCCCTCCTTCTGAGATTCCCTCCCATTTACTATCATCTCCTTAATTATCTTGGACATCAACTCATTTTTGGTCACTTGTATTTTGTACTTGGAAGTGCAAATAATGTTGTTTTATTTTTTCTTCTTGACAGAGAAAACTGAAGTAAAATCATAACTGCATAGCTCTGCCTGCTCTCAGATGTCAGTTACCAGCTAACACCTGTGCTATAGTTCCATCTACCTTAGGAAGAGGTTCTAGTCTTTCTTTGCTTGTTTTCCCCAGTATACCTAAAAACATACCCTCCGTAATTTTTTGTTGTCCTTAGTTTCCCTCCATATCCTTAGTTCATTCTAATCTTTACTACTCCTGACCCCGTCTCTGAAGGGCTGCTCCATGCTCTACGGTCATCTGTTGTTTCCTGGCTTTTCTTCCATCTTTTATCTCATTTCACTAAAGAGTTCCCTGTGTATCCAAATAGGTCTCTTCCACCAGTTCCCACTTTTCCTTCTCAATGGAAATGCTTCCCTTTGTGTCCTCAGAATTTTATTCTTGAGCATCTATCATTCCACCTGAGATAACATCCCCCAGTGAATTTTAGGCCATGAGAGCCTACCTCTTCTTCTGAACTTCCTGAAATCTATTTTCTTAAAGTCTAACATACATATCCAGCTTTCCTTTCTTCTATCACAAAATGTAGGAGTGAAGGTCATCCCCCCACCCCCTAGGTTTCCATCACTTCTGCCTCAACACTTATCACATTCTTACAGGACTAGGCTGTATTTTGTCTTCAACTTCCACTACCTGCCTTTGCTTCCATCTTCTTTGCATGTCTTTTTAAAATTTACACTGACTAATAAGTATCCTGTGCATGCTCAATCTCTTTAGGCAACTCCTACTTTTCTCTAATTCCATTCTCAAAATTCAGGATACAAATTGTCTTTTGACTTCAAGGTCAAGTACGCTGTAACATCGTGATGCCTTCGAACAGCTGAAGGATTGCCACACAGAAGAGCTTAACTTGTTTTGCCAGGCTCAAGACCAGAGAACTAGGCACAAGTAGAAATTGGAAAGGCAATTTCCAGCTCAATATACAGAAAAGCATCCACCCAAGTCTTACCTCAATGGCTCCTTTTGGCATGGAAGTGGCCTTGGATTTTCTAGTAGCTAAATTTTATATACAACACTCACATATTCTAAATAAGATGAATGGCTTCAAAGAGGGAGACTTATAAAGGTCAATGACCATAAGCTGAAGACTAGATTAGGTAAATTCAGAGAGGTTCATCACCATTTTGGCTACAGGGCAATGGAATCTTGACCATGGCAATTCTCAAAGACCATCTACTAAAGAACAGATGAGTTAAGACAGTTAAGGGGTATACTGATACAAGTGTTGATGAAATTAGAAATCTTAGACATATGAAGAGAAAAACCTTCAAACTATGAGATCTCTCAGAAAGTAGAAAGGGCTGTCTCTGGAATTAAGGGATTCTCTATTACAGCCAATATTTAAACAGAGACTATTTTGTCCTACTTGACAAGGATCATACAACCAATATGTAGAGCTGGCGAAAACCAGGAGGTCATCTAGTCTAGCCCTAATGTTTTACAGATGAGGAGTGAGGCCCCGAAATGCTTTATGACTTGACCAAGATCACAGAGGGGAGGGGCAGAATGAAGACTCAAAGCCAGGTCTTTTGACTCCAAATTCAGCCGTGTCTCCATTGCACCACATAAGCTCTCACATTACAGGAAGAAGTCTTGCTGAGGTACAGATTTTATTCAATAAACTAAGAGTTCTTTCTATTCTCCCAGAATCATCCTGAGGTAAAAATTATCCAAAAGTTCATTAAGTATGACTGTCAATCACCAGATAACTATCAGAGATAGTTATCTACAGAATTTTATTACACCCAAAGCACAGTCTCATCTGTGTTAAAAAAAAAAAAAAAAAAAAGAGAGAGAGCCCAGGGCGTCAGCTTCAGTAACCTACATAGAATTCTACACAGAATGTGGATATGTAAGCAACAGAGAGAAATAGAATTTTACAGAAAGCAGGAGGGGAAAAGAAAGGTATATATGTCTGGAAACAAATGACAGAAGGGGGATGATAAGGACACCTTTCAGCAAATCAAAACCAGGAGTTGTGGTTTCTTTCCCTGACTTGATTCTGCAAGTATTGTGACCTTCAGGCTTTCAACAACAATGTGTGGAAGCTCAAAATAGAGACTGGGCAATGTGTTTTTCTTATCATAGTGGCAGCAAGAGGACTGAGGTAGAAATTCTCCTGCCACAGTCTCCACCTTGGTCAAAGCTCACATATACGCATCTCCAACCACATTTTTACACATCTAATTGTTTTTTTTTTCCTCAAGATACTTTTATATAAGTTATCTGGCAGGCATTTCCACAGGCAGATACAAGTATCTGGAAGTACTAATTGCCACAATAAAAAAAAATTAATACAATAATTACTGTATTATAAAACAGAAGGTTTTCAAAACTGCCTTGATCCAGACTGTTCTTGGCAACAAACCCCAAATGTCCTAGTTAGACATCCTTTCATGTTTAATCTCTTTTAGACCCTTCCCTAACATCCCAATGCAATTCAGGTGCTGAGTAATATTAGTGGTTTGGTTGAATACATATGCAACATTCAGTTAATGTCCATTTAAATAATAGATTTCTTATCCTACCATCCACTTCATGAAGTTATATGCTTCTGAGAAACATTTTCCCTTGGAAATTCTGTATCAAAGGCATCCATCCTTGACCACTGTCCACAAATTGTCTAATTTAGTCCACTTAAATTCAGAAACATGTATTCCTGGTGTCTTTAACTGGGATGTTAGTTAACAGTATTGGAATGGACCTTGTTTCTAGAGCAGATTTGCAGAGGGGTTTCTTCTAGTAGATCAACTTTCTAGGTTCTAGGCCACTTGTAGAGTTTTCTTAGGTAATGTTCCTTAAACTTGCTAGTGATAAGATTATAATTTAGTAGGGTCTTGCAAAACCTAATCACACTGGCCTTTTTTTAGGCCTTTCCAGGAAACTCAGATCAAACCTTATGAAGTTAAGCTTATAAACATCAGAGCTGTAGGGAAGACATCAAATTAAGCTAACTCATCTGATAATTTGAAATTTGGAGAGTTTAAGTTTTCACATAACATTTGTGCTTTATATCTTTACCTGAACTCTGTATATGGTATGGAGATAATCTATAGAGTATATACAGATATACAGAATTTTACAGAAAGTAAGAAAGGAAGGGAAAGGTATACATGTCTAGAAGCAAGTAACAGAAAAGGGAAGATAAGGACACCTTTCAGCTGGTCAAACAGGAGCAGTGGCTGCTTTTTCAGTCTTGATTCTGCAAGTTTTATGACCTTTGATCTTTCTGAAACAATGTCTGGAAGCTCAAAATAGAGACTGGGCCAATGTACTTTTCTTATCACAGTGGTGGCAAGATGTCTGAGCCAGATATTCCAACACAATCCCTTTCTTGATTCTTGGAAGGGAACCCTCAGAGTTTATAAACTTCCTTAACAGGATTTTAAAATAATATCAGATAACTAACCACCCCTAGAGACTCAGTAAAGTTATAAGGCAGTGAGGTGGTGCAGTGGACAGAGCATGGGACCTAGAGTCAGGAAGACCCAAGTGCAAACATGGCCTCAGTCTCTTACTAGCTGTGTGACTCTAGGCAATTTACTTAACCTCTCTAAGCTTAAATTTCCACAACTATAAAACAAGAAGAACCTACCTAACACCCACCTCCTAGGGCTGTTGTAAGGATAAAATAAGGTACTTGTAAAGTGTTTTATAGAATTTAAAAAGCATTCTATAAATACTAGCTCTCATTTCAGAAAAGAAGAACTCTTGAATTGAGTCCTAAAGAATGTATATGATTAGGAAAGGGAACATGTATATATAGATCTACAAACTGGTCCCCCAAAATATCAGGAACAAAGGCAAAATCTAGGCAAACCTCAACCCTGAGTTTGGGGAGCAGTTCAAACAGCAGCTCGTATGGCATTGAGGTCCTACTCTAGAACAATAATCAATAAGGATGGATCAATATGAAGCAGAAAACAGAAAGTCTTAAATCCAATACCACAGCAAGACTGGAATCGTACATGTGGAAGAGATACTAGGAGTTTATCTATTCCAATTTCCTATACAAAGCTCTGAGCCAATCTGCCAGATCACTGACAGATGATTCCTGCGGTGCCGCTTGAACACCTGCAGCAAATAGAAGCTTATGGTTAAATAAGGAGCAATGTGGTATAGCCCAAAAAAGGGCTAGACTTAGAATCAGGTGAGACCTGTATTCAAATCTCACCTCTGGAACTCACTAGCCAGGTGATTGTACTCAAATCACCTGACTTCTGAGTTCCATTTCTCTCACCCTTTCTTATTTCCTTTAAATATTGTTTCCAATTATGAAACATATATTGGGTATAACACCTGTTCAATTTACTAAAAGGGTGATTAGAGGAAATAAAATAGTTTTTTAAATGTCCAAGGGCAGCATCAATGTCAACTACTATTGTTACTATAAGCCAGCCAATTCTACAGTTGAATAAATTTTAAAAAATTCAGCCTCTCTGGCGTCCTGATCCTAATTTGACCCTATAAAATTCAATTACATATAACAAACCTTCACAAAGTACCTAGCCTCATACTAAACCATTGGGAGAGAAACAAAGTTTTAATAAAATAACGTTTCTGTCCACACAGAATCTATTGGAAGTATTATAAAGAATTTATATATGAGTCATTATTTCAAATTATAGTTAAAGACAGAGAGGCTAAGCAGGTTGCTTGATGGGGGACTTAAGATCCTTACAGCCTGAGGGTGGAGGAGAAACATCAGAGAGAAGGTAGCATTTTAGTTTAGAAGATAGCAATAGCATATGCAAAAAGCATGAAAGGAGCAAAGTACATGTCATGTTTGGGAGAATACATGAAGACGTGGTAAGGATGGGGAGGTAAAAGGATTTCCGATTAGAAGGTCTTCTCCAAACTGGACATTCCATCTCCTGTTTTCCTGTATTCACCCAAGCCATCCCCCATTCCTGGAATGTTCTCCTCCCTTGTCCCTGTCTTTCAGAATCCAGCACCATCATTCAAACTTCATCCCAGCTGACATTCCCTTTACAAAGTCTTCCCTCATTCTTCTAGTCGCTAGTTCCCTCTCCCTCAACCTACATGTATGTGATTGTGGTACAGCCTTCTCCTCCTAGCTCCCCCAGCACATCCCCACAGAACACAGGCTCAGTGAGGGCATAGCCATTTTTGTTTTTGCATCTCCAGTGTGTCATTCTTAAGTCTCTGAGTGTGAAGTCACAGGAGGGCAGCTGAGTGGAAGCTGCTCTGTAGACAACTGGAAATAAAGAACCAAATACTTGCTATTTCAGAAGTGAACAACTGGCTACTCACAATCTGAGTCTGTGGTGTAATATTTTTCTCCAAGACTTTAAGATACTCTTCAATTTTATCCTCTACTGGACACCTAAGAAGGAAATAAATACATTTTCTCATTGTATTCAGTAATCAGTAGCCGGTTCAAGCTATATCATTCACAGAAGCTTAAAAAGGTTTCATATAGTTATGAACTCAGCATGTTAAATTGAAACAAAAAGATTGCAATACAAAAAGGTATTAAGAATAAAAATTAAAATAGTCAAAAGGGACTCAGAATGGCTAAAAATATTTGTTAAAAATGTCAACAGAAAGGAAGGGAAAATCTTTCAATCCCTTACCAGGTCTGTCGACAAAAATGTCTGATACTATATATTCAGAACTTTTCTTACTTTCAAATTTCTTCCCTTCACCAACAGCACACAATTCACAGATTTTTATCATATATACTTACATTTATGTGCCACTTTCTGATATTTTTATTCTAATAGAAGGAATTGTTTCTTCATCCTTCTGGATAAATAAAATGTTCTTCCTATCTACTATGGCAGAGGTGGCATACTCCTGGCCACCAGCCAGCTCTCCAGTGCTGTCTCAACCAGATTAAAATCTGATTGGGAAATGTTCAGCAATATAAATAAAAACACAATACAACCTAGTGGTAATTTGTGGATTTCTAAGTCAATATTGAGTTTGACACCACTGATGTAGGGAATAGTCTTCTTCTTATTAGCCTTTAGCCAAAAGCAACCAAATTTGATCTGCTAGAGGGCACTGACCTACCAAAGGTTATGGAGTAACAGGCATTAGAGTTAACTGAAAACTGGATCCTTTTCTCAGTACTTCTATTTAATCAGAATCTGGCTATTTACCGAGAAAGGGATTGGCTATAAACCACTAACCAGTAGATTTTACATTTGGGGTTTCCTTGTAATTCTCAGGATCAAAGTTTAAGGGCCTTTACCAAACAAAGGCATCATCCTAAATTTTTTTATCACCTGCTTGTAGATAGTGTTCCCCTACATGCTGGAAGCAGCTGGTGTAATGGCAAGGCTGGTCACCATTAGGGCCTGAACTCCAGTCCAGGTCTACTGACTCCCAACTCTGACACTGGTAGCATGGCCCTTGACAAGTCACTGAAGTTATTATTTTCCTTCCTATAAAATGGGGATAATATTTGCTTTGCTCACTAATCAGGGATGCTGTGAAGAAGGTACCTTATATATTTGAGCGCTACATAAATGTGCACCCTTATCAAAGTGAGTTCATAGAAGTTTCTCCCTAAAGTCCAAGAACTGAAATTCCTGGTATTTCTGCTTTTTAAAAACTTTGTTTTAGTCTTTGGATGTGTGCAAGTGACCACCATGAGTGGTATTTTCTTGGGGTATTGGCTCATGTACATTGTCACACAGTTAAAAATCCAGGCAAGGGGTTTAAATAAACCTGGAGGTCAAGATTTGAGTTTACCACCAGGTGGGGCTTCATTCAGGATAAGCCTGTCAGCCACAGGGCCTAATAAAGAGAAATGGACTCAGGGTAAAGAGATCTACATCTAGATACACATATACATATGTGTTTTCATGTATGTGTACCTATGTATATGTGTGAACAGACAGTATATGTATACATATACAATATATATTTGGAAATGGGGTCAATGTAGGAAATTGGCTTGATTATGAAAGTCATATATATATACACACACACACATATGGGGTATATATATGTACATGTGTGTGCATGTGCATGTGTGCGTGTGTGTTTACTGTTTGGCTTGACTATGAAAGTTTGTAACAACAGTTGTGTTTTTCTTGCTTTATTGGGGGGGAGGGAGGAAAGATAAATCTCTATAAAAATAAAACAGAATTTTATTTTTAAGAAGGTAGCTCTCTCCTCTATTCTCCATTCTTCTCCTCCTTCTCTTTTTATCCCTCATCTTTCATCTTCCTTTCCATCTCTATCTCTTCTTTCCCCCCTCTCACTCTCACCCTCTCCTCCCTTCACCTACTCTTTCCACCTCTCCCTCTCCTCATTCTTTTGTTCCCTCTTGGGTGTTCTGAGCAAATGATCACATATCCTCTGTTTCAAAGGAACAGAGAGAAGAAACTTTCACTTTCCTTTCTCAGGAAAAAGTAAGGTGGAAGTAATAATGATTACAACTGTCCGCCCCCAATCACAGTTCCAATCTTGAGCAGGATTCAAAGCAGCTCCCAGCCTTTATTAGATTCAACACCATAGATACTGACACATCTTTTCCTTGCATCCCCAGTTATGGGTATTCTTAGGTCTCATGACTCCTGTTTCTTCTCTTGCAATCCAGAAGTCCAAATGAGGGCAAAAGGTCACAAAGCATAGAAATTATCCTTTATCCTATCCTCTCACAAACATAACGGAGAGCACCCAAGCCCAAGAAGATTGCTAGCACCAAGGTTTTAGCCAATAAGCCCAAAGTTACAGCCAAGAAGGGCAAGAAACTGAAGACCATCAAAGCTAAACTAGTGAAGACATTTAAGTTCAAAACCAAGTTTTGCTCAAAAAAAGAAAAATCCGCCAAGAAGTGAATCTTCCTCTTGGATCCTCCTTTGTTTTTCTTTTGTAAGAAGCCAAAAGTCAAATTTACTGAGTACAGAATCTGAGACAGTTTGTGGCTACTGAAGTGAAGGAAAAAGAACAAGCAGATGTTGAGAAAAGAACAGGCACAAAAATCACCTAAGGGTCCACATCTGGGCACAGGAAAATGAAATTACTAATTTATGGCTACAGATGCAAGGGCAAGATGTGTTCCCTGTTTCAAGTCTAATGAAGGAAAGATTTCAAAATGCAAGTACTTAAGCTAAGCTGCCTTTTACACAGTACAGTTTCAGAATTTCCTCTGAATCTGTCTGGGAGGGACAGGGGTGAGAGGGGAAAGGGAGGAGGGGGAGAGAAGGAAGAAGAAAGGAAAGAAGAAAGAAAGGAAGGAAGGGAGAAAACGGAGGGGGAAGGAAGGAAGGAAAGAGGGAAGGCAGGAAAAAAGGGAGGCAGGGAGAAAAGAGAGGGAGGAAGGAAAGAGGGAAGAAGGAATGGAAAAAAGGGAAGGAGGGAGAGAAGGAAAGAAGGAAAGAAGGGAGGAAGAGAGGTAGGGAGGATGAAGGTAGGGTGGGGGGAAGGAAAGGAACAAAAGATTTCCCTGGGGTTACATAAACAGCTATATTTTAGAAAACTCCTGCTTAGCAAAGTGGAAGTCATTTGTGGATGGGTTGTCTCAGTAAAGACAGACTGACTTGCTAGGATAAGAACAAGAAGTCTAGATAGGAAGAAAGCATGCAGATGAGTATTACAGAGTTTCAGAATGGGAAGGGACCTTGTCCAAACTATACCAAAGAAAAGAATCTCTAATGCAATACTCCCAGCAAGGCATCATCTAGCTTTTGCTTAAAGACCTCCCAGGTGGCCCATAACAGTGTGCTACCGGTCTCTTTGGGAGGGTTTGTTTGGTTTTTTCTTCCTTTTTATCAAGCTTAAACTTGCCCTTTTGAAACTTCTCCCTACTCTTCTAAGTTACTCTCTGAAAACCAGAAAAACAAGCCTGTTCCACTCAACAATCCTGAGACTATTTGAGTATGCCTCCTCCAAGCTTTCTCTTCTCCAGAATAAGCACCCCTAGTTCCTTCATCCGGTCTTTGGATGGCAAAGTCTTGAGGTCTTTCACCATTCACATTTCCTTCCTCAGGATGTTTATCGACATTTTTCCTAATATGTAGTTTTCAGAACTAAAGATGATACTGTCTGACCAGGGCAAAATATAATGGGACTAATAATATTAATAGTAATATATAGCATTCACACAGTGCTTTAAAGTTTGTAAACTTATTTGATCCTCACAACCACCCTGGGAGGCAGCTGTTATTATCATCCCCATTTTACAGATGAGGAAACTGAGATAGAGGTTAACTGACTTGCCCAGGGTCACATAGCTAAGTAGGTATCTGGGGTAGAATTTGAACTCAGGTTTTCCTATGCTCCATCCACTGTGCCACCTCCTGATTCCTTAATAAAATGCCTCTTAATGTAATCCAAAATTAAATTAGATTTATTTTAGGCATGCAATATGACAAACAGCATGATAAGATTTATTAAGTGCCCACTATGTGCCAGGTACTGTGCTAAGTGCTAGGGATTCAATAAGAAAAAGAAAGACAGACCCTGCTCTCAAGGAGCTTACCATTGAATGAGGGAAGAAAAGACACAAAAAGAAGTTGCAGGGGGTCGGGAGTGCCCGAGGGTGCCTAACAAGGATGTGAGAAGATGAAGAAGGAGTGGAAACCAAGTAGGGTAGCTGGGGGTAAATAAAGAGCTGGTTGTCATTTTGAGCTGTCTATAAAAGGAGGCTATGCCAGAGTTTTGTTTTTTTTTGCTCTGCCTTCCTGCCTTCCAATCAGAAAGAAAGCAGAAACCTTGGGTATCTATGAGGTGTGGGCAGCAAAGCTGAAGCAATCTCCACCATGCTGAATTTCACAGGGATGAATACATCCTGGGTGGGGCACGATGAAGACGATGACGGAATTCAAGGCCCTTCACAGCCCAGCCACCTTCTCCATTTTGCAATCTTCTTACACCCTGACATGTTATCTTCGATCCAGTGACACTGGCCTCCTAGCTGCTCCACAAACAGGACCCTCCATCTCTGGCTATCCCCCACGCCTGGAATGTGCTCCTCTTCAACTCCGACTACCGATCTCCACAGCTGCCTTTAAATCTTGACTAAAATCCCATCTTCTACAGGAAGCCTTTCCCAACACCTCTTAATTCCAGTGCCTTTCCTCTCTTAATTTCTCCTATATATGCTGTCTGTAGCCTGTTTGGCTTACTGTTTACTTCTTGTCTTCATGAGATTGTGAGCTCCTTGAGGGTAGGGATTGTCTCTTGTCTCTTTTCATATCTCCAGTGCTTAGCAGCACAGTGCCTGGCACTTGGTAGGTGCTTAATAAATGTTTATTGAATGACTGACTGGATTTGAATCCAAGCAAAGTACCCAGTGGCAAATGAAGAGCTGCCTGTCAGTTCGAGCCCTCTATAAAGGAAGGTTATGGGAAGAGTTGTTTGCTCTGCTCTCCATCCCTCCAGTCAGAGAGGTACCAGACTACTGACCCATATTCAGCTTGCAATCAACTAATACCAGTCCACGTTCTCTCTCATCTTTTTTTGCCCCAGAAACCAGTTCTTCCATGTTGGAGAGAATAAGACACAGAACAGTATTTCCCCATGTGGGTTGCTCCTATTTTTGAAAGATGAAATTACCATTTTGGTAAATTAAGAAATTATTTGCTTTGTTTCTTTGGAAGAATGGTAGGTCCATCAGATGACTGAAGAAATGATGTCCTCCATCACTTGTCCACTGTCCTTCTGGGCCAGATGGGTGATATTTCCAGATTCCTTCATCTTTTGGACTAAGGCGGCTGTAATATATACTCTGTTCAGATGATGACGTTCTTCCTTCTGTCCCTGCTGATCGTCACCCCCATGCTCTTCACACTGCGTCTTCCCCAGTTCCTGGACTGCTGCCTGTAAGCATCTTCTTAATAAACCATGCTACTCCACCCCCATGTCTTTTAACATATCTCCCTGCCAACCTTTCCCTGCTATTGATGTGGGTTTCTCAGACAGTGCCAGCCCAAGATCAATGGAGAGTGCTTGTTCAGTAGTCCTCAAAGTATTTTGACCTTTCAGTGGTGGACATGGGAGGAGTCTAATGGGCTGTCTCAGGGCTATGTTTTGTATTAGTTCATGGGCTCCTGTGAGTCATTTGTCTTTTGAATTTTCTGTAGTAGATGAAATAAAGGTTATGATACCCATAAGGTACACTGTATACCTGATATGCATATTGTACACTGGATGCCCTTGTGGGAGTTGAGAAACCCTGTTACCCACCTTTGGGGGGAAACGAGCCCCTGAAATTGAAGCCATAGCCAAAAAAGAGAAACTGACCTTTCGGAGGTAAGGAGCCAGGATCAAATCTTGTGGGCTGAGAGCTTTTGAGGGGACCTAGGCAGCAGGTGAAAAAATATCTCTATTTTCCTCAAATAGCAAGGGTCCCCTTTATAACCAGTTAAAGAGGGCTTATTTTAAGTACTACTGAACAATCTCTACACTGGATTATTTAACCCTAGATTCCAACTCAAAGCATTTGCAAAAAACCTTCCCCAAATGCATAATCTGTGAATGACCAGCATTCAATATCTAAACTTTGGGAAAAGTTAATTGTACTTACTGTAAGGGGGGCCTCAAGTTTATGCCTAGGGTACGTGTAGTTATATTTAGTTTCTCCCATAGGATTTGTGCTAGTCTTTCATTTTCATGATTGAAGACAAGCAGCCAATTATTCAGTGGTTTAGGATAACTCAACTGTCCTCTTTTGATTTCTTTTGACCAATCTGTACAATGGATAGACATAGCCTAGGAGAGAAAGAGTTAGAAGACATGTTATAAGAAGTTAACTGTGCTTTACAACTACTTAAATTCCAATAAGTCAACATGTATTTATTAAGAACCTATTATATGCCAGACAAGCCAATACTGAGGCCAGACAGGAACTCATGAAGATGCATCTTCCTGACTCCAGGCCCAGCACTCTGTGCACTATGGCGCCATCTAGCTGCTCAATAAATGTGCCAAACAGGCCCACACGGCACATACAGAGGCTGCAGGGTGACAACAGAAAGCAAGAAAGGCCTCCTGTAGGAGGTGGCACTTAGGCTTGGTTCTGAAGGGCGCTAAGGATTCTAAGAGATAGAGAGGGAGAGCATTCCAGGCAGAGGGGACAGGAAGCCTGAAGATGGGAAATAAACAATAAGGACGCTGGTTGGGTAGAATGCCCTGAACATAAAGGAGAGTGCAATAAGCCTGGAGAGACAGGCCAGAATCAGACTGTGAAAGGCTTTAAATGTCTGACAGAGAAGCCCTTCATTCTAGAACAAAGGGGAAGCCACTGGAGCTTTTAGACTAGGTGAGTGCCATGGTCAGACCCATGTTTTAGGAAGATCCCTTGGCAGCTGTGCAAAGGGGGGAGAGTGAAGAGGAGAGACACTACCCCCCAGGCCTTAAACAGATACCCTATTACTGTCTACAAAGGTAACTTCTGCTTCTAAAGAGGAATGTGCAAAATTAATGGTTTCTTATTTTTGATAAAGCAGCTAGGTGGCCTAGTAGTTAGACTGCTGGGTTTGAAGACCAGCAGAAGACCAGAGTTCAAATCTGCTTCAGGCACTTCCTAGTTATGTGACCCTGGTCAATTCATTTAACCTATCTGTCTCAATTTCCTCAGCTGTAAAATGGGGGTCATAAAAGCACCTACCTCTGGGGGAGTTACTGTGAAGATCACATGAGATAATATTTGTGAAGTGCTTTGCAAATCTTTAAGCACTGTAGAAAAAAACAAACTATACCTCTGGTGATTAGTTAGTTTATTTTTTTTCATTTATGTAGGAATACAGCAGAAAGCCTAGTAAAAGAACAAGGTAAAACTTTTGCTCTTCTCATTACTCGTATAAGTAGGTTTACTTTGGTTTGTACAGGTTTGCTTTGGACCAAACTGAACTGATGATCAAAAAAAAAAAAAAACCCAACCAACTTAATCTATGAAACTTACTCTTCTATCTTCATTGAGTTTCTGTACCGGCAAAACTCTTCCAGTGAGAGATAACGATTGTTTTTCAAAGTCTAAACCCCATTCCTGAAGCTCTCTCTGGACATCAGCATTTCTGTCAAGTTAAGAGTATTTGGACACTGATAAATAAAACAGTGATGTAATATTTAATAAGAGATATACAGAATCAAGACAAACATCCCCTAACCAAAAGTTTTAGGTGCTACCTCTCAGGGTTGAGATTCTGAAAAGTCACTTCAAGCTCTGACAAAGTTGTGGTCACCCCAAGATACACAAAGACAGCCCAAGGTAGCTTTCTGACCTCCTGTCTTACTCTGCTTTAGGGGCTGTCTCCAGTGACTGAATGACAAACAGAGCTGAAAAATTGTTAAGATTTGTCCCAATTCATTTTGCTTGTCTCTCCTACTACAGCTGTCTGGTAAAAAAAAACTAGAAAGTTAAGAAGAGGACTGTAAGTTTAGCTTTCAATTTTCTGATACGTTATATCTACAGCTATCTATCTATCTATGGAGCTGATATTGTCCTGATTTGGTCACTAAGTATTTATTTAGGGCCTGCTATGTGGAAGGCACTGGAGAAACAATTCCTGATTTTTGCATTACCTGTAGTTTCTTTGGAGAGATGATATGCACACATCTATCTACTATGTGTGTGTACGTATGTGTGTGTATATATATACATATACACATATACATACTAATATATACTCACACACACACACACACACAGACACAAAAAGTCATTTCAATCAGGAAAGGTCTAAGCTTTGAAGGAAACTAGGGTCTGGATTGATCTGACCAACTGTGAGCATTTATGTTACCAAAAATGAGAATGGAAATTCGATAACATAAATCACTCACCTATTATACTTGCAGGAGTTCTTAACCTGGGGTATGAGAACTTTTTTTTTTTAAGTATTTTGAGAACTGTGATTCAATATGACTGGTTTCCTCTTAATCCTGTATTTTATTTTATGCATTTTAAAAATAGACTGCCAAAAGGTGCTCAAGACACAAAATAGGTTGTGACCCCCTATAATAAAGAAACTCACTTGTGAATATTGTCAATGAGTTTTCGGAGTTCAGTGTATCGTTTTTCAGGCGACAACCTTGTACGATTAGCTATGTTCTTGGTGATCCTATCATTCATTCGCATTGATCGAGTTAGACCTTTGGGACAAAAACACAGGATACTGTGTTCAAACCAGGAGCTAAGGATGCTTTCTAAGTGTACTGTGAGCATTGGGATGCAAAAGCAGCTCTCTCTTGGAGAGCTGGGCAGGAGTTCAAAGAAGAGGTCTCAAAGGCCAGAGCACTTGAAGGGGGAGCTGTTAAATGAAGGAAAGAAATGGAATTGTTGGGCAAGAAAGAAATGAATAAGTGATTCTGTCTTCCCTCCAAAGAAAAGAAAATCCTACAGTACCTGTGAGGTTACAGAGCTCAGGCATGAGAAGGGCAGGGCTTTTGAGTCTTCCATCAGGCCCCTTCTTCCGTTTGGGCAGGCTGACCAAGACTGGCTGCTCCAAGTCTGTGATTGTTGCCCTATATTGCTGTGCAAAGAAAGAAAGGAAGATAGGTCATCATCATTAACAGTCAATTCTTCCAACAGTGGATACAGTAAAGGACCCTAACTGATCTGAGTACCTGAATACAAATCCTGCCTTAGATACTTCCTCACTGTATGACCCTGGGCAGGTACCTTCTCTCTCAGCCTCACTTTCCTCCTCTGTAAAATTGGAATAATAATAGTGTGTAACTCTCAGGGTTGTCGGGAGAATCTTAAAGTATTATATAAATACTAGCTATTATTTTTATTATTATTATTTTTAAGACAAAGACTTAAAATCAGAAGCTGTGTTGATTTGGGAAAATTTAAGAATGCCTGTGAATGGTATTATGGATTGTAAGTACTCTGGTGATGTCTTCCCACCCCTAGAACTCTCACTGCCAAAAGAATCATAGGTTTAAAGCCGGAAGGAGCTTCAAAGGTCATCTACTTGAACTCCCATTTTATAAATGGGTAAATTCGGGCCCAGAAAGATAGACTTGCCTAAACATACCTACTGGTTAGTAGGAAAGCAAGGACATCTTTGAAGCTCAGCAATTGTTTCTTACTAATATAGGTGGTACTAATAACTTCATTATTTGTATAAGAAGCTCCAAACGAATCAAATTAATCAATCAGCAAGTATTTATTAAGTGCCTACCATGAGCCAGGCAATGTGTTAGATGCTGGGAAAATACACTACAAACTAAAGACAAAACAAAACACATTATCACAAATTATTTTTGACCAATTACATGATAATAAAACTGGTAGTTTAAAGGAAATGGACGAATATTTATAAAAATATAAAATGCTAATATTAACCAAACAAATAGACTTTAAATAAAACAATATCAGAAAAAGAAATTTTAAAAAGCCATGAAAATACTCCCAAAATAAAAGACTTCCAGAACCAAATGGATTTATATGTGAATTCTATCAAATATTCAAAGAATAATAATTCTAAAATTACATAAACTGTTAGCAATAATAAGAAATGAAGGAACCCTTCCAATCTCTGATACAAATACGATCTTGTTACCTAAACCAGGGAAAGACAAAACAGGAAAAAAAAAAACAAAAAGCAAGAAAAAAAAAAAAAAAACTGAGCAATAACTCTAGTGAACAATGCAAAAATTTTAAATAAAATTTAGTAAATACGCTGCAAAAATATATTAGAAATACTATATTCAATGACCAAGTTGAATTTGTCCCAGGAATGAAGAGTTTGTTTAACATAGAGAAGATTATAAATATAATAAGTCATGTTAATAACATAAACATTTTTAAATGATCCTATTAGTACATGCTGAAAAGGGATTTGACAAAATCTAGTGCTAATCTTTATTAAAAAAAAAAAAACAACACAGTAGAAAGCATAGGAATTAATGGACCTTTTCTTAATAGAGTAAATATCACCTACCTAAAACCTGAATTACACATATATAATAGAGAAAAGTTAGAAAACTTTCCAATAAGATCAAAGTAAAGCAAAGATGTCAACTATTGCCTCCACTATTTAACATAATCCTATAAATGCTAGGTATAATAATACAAAAGAAATGAGAATAGAAATAGGGAAAAAGGAAAAAATATTTTTTAAAAAATGATATTTAAAAATGCTAAAGAGTCAATCAAGACTCATGGGAGATAAAATGGATACTTTTGAATGCATCCAATTAAAAAGATTTTGCATTAACAAGTAAAATTTTGCTAAAATTTGAAGAAAAGCAAGAAACTGAAAAGGGCAGGTGGAATCTTTGCAGTTGATCTGAGAATCTTCTGTGCAGAGATTATAATTGAATCTGTGGGACCGGATGAGATCACCAAATGAAATAGTAAGAAGAAAAGAGAAAAGACAATACAAGGACAGGGCCTAGAGCCCTATGAGACACCCATGGATGCTGTCTTAACATTGAGGGCATTTTTGTTGGCTGTCCCCCATTTCTGGCATTCTCTTCTTCCTCATCTCTGCTCCTGGCTTCCCTGGCTGCCCTCAACTTCTAGCTAAAATCCCATGTCTACAAGAAGCCTTTTCTGACTCCCTGGAATTCTAGTGCTTTCCCAATATGGTTTCTTTCCAATTTGTACTGTCTATATCTTGTTTCTATATAGTTGTTTGCGTATTGCCTCCCCCATTAAATTGTGAGCTCCTTGAAAGCAAGGCCTGTTTTTCGCCTTTCTCTGCAAATTCTGTCCCTTTCCTTCTCCCTCTCCCCTTGGAGTCATGCCCTTACCTGAGGGTACTCTGCTCAAAGGTGAATTTTGATGGCTGAAACCTACTTTCATATCATGGGGTTTACTGGCTAGATTTCTTTCTTAAAGACCTTGCCTGAAACCCAATTTACTCTAGGTCTCATTGATTGGCCAACAATTAGGTTCCTGCCCAAGCACCACTTAATGGTTACTTTTTGGGCCCTGATGGCTCAGTGAATGTAAATACTAACTGTAACTGTTTCTCTTTTGGCTAGAAACAATCCTAAGGGTCTCCCCCTCCCAGTTTGATTTTTTTTTTTTTAATTAAAGGGGCCATCCCTTGGCTCACTTCTTAAATAGCCCTAATCACTGAATGGGTGTTGCCTCAGCCAAAGTGAGAACTTAGCTTAAAAAGGCCAAGGTCTCCCACTGCATTCTGGTCCATCTCCAGTTGTCCTGATCTATATTTGGCTACTGGACCCAGATGGCTCTGGAGGAAAAAGTGAGGCTAGTGACTGCACACCCTCCCTCACTGTAAATCCAATTCACTTACAAGTCATGACATCATCTTCCTGATGTTATGGTCCTCTTTGAGAACGAAGGACAAACCACAGACCTTGGCACAGTGCCTGGCACATAGTAGGTACTTAATAAAAGCTTGTTGACTGATCCTCAGACACGTGAATGTAGAAAACATAAGCCAAAGAGAACAAAGCCCAGTCAAGGTGAGGGCTGGCTGGAGCAGCTGACATTTTTTTAAGCCTGAGATACAAATACTATAGTTGCTAAGTCTCTGAGGCAGTTTGGTCACTGGATCACAGCTCCCTCTCAGCACCTTTACAAGCAGATAGTGCCAATCCATGCCTCATTAATACACACAAGTTCGTGCTGATGGGCTACAAGGATGAAGCTAAAAATAGAGGAAATACGATATATTGGATANCCCTCTCAGCACCTTTACAAGCAGATAGTGCCAATCCATGCCTCATTAATACACACAAGTTTGTGCTGATGGGCTACAAGGATGAAGCTAAAAATAGAGGAAATACGATATATTGGATGAAGAGCTGGTCTTGGAGCCCAAAAGATCCAGGTTCACATCCTGCCTCTGACACATGCTGGCTATGTGACCCTGGGCAAATCACCTTGCCTCACAATACTCCAGGCAACTCTCTATGGCTACAAATTGCAGAGAAGGTGTCTATCTGCTTTGGAAAAGGGAATGTCCTCACTGGTGACTTCCCGACTACAATGATATCACAGGAATGGTCCTTATCCCTTAACAATGTACCAGGTCAGATGCAGTATGGAGTAGTAGAAGAGAGAAGTGCTGGGTTCAAGTCCTGCCTTGGACACACACAGGCTATGTGATCCTGGACAAGTCACTGACCCTTTCAGTTGCCGCAGTCATTCCAAATTTCAGAGCAGGAACCTATGCGCATTGGTAGAGGCTGTTTTGGCAATGGGAGTTCCTCACAGGTCCAGGAAAAGAAAGAAAAAAGTGTGAGTGTGTGCGAGTGTGTGTGTGTGTGTGTGTATACACACACGTATATATAGATGCATGTACATATATATCATATATTTATTTTTTCCAAGAGAGAACAAAATATTCTAAGAGTTGATCATGTTCTTTCTCAACTTTATTCTTAGCTGTCTAAATGCTAATGCCTAAAGAATATGTTGCTTTACTACTTAATTGACTAGAGCTACACTGACTAAAGACAAGCCGATGAGTATGTATTAAGCAGTTCCTATGAAAGGCCAGATGGCCGTACTAAGCTCTAGAGATATAAAGAAAGACAAAACCAACCTACTCTAGGTCATCGTCAAATGCTCTGGTTCTTATTCTTGAGGACAACTTCCTTCACTGTTCTGGAGCAGCTCCTCCTACTCCCTCACCCTGACCCTCTCCATTTCTCTTCTATGCTTGAATTGTTGTTGTTTTTTGTCCTTTGTTTCCGAAGACCAGTGACATCACAGGATGATGTCTTGACTTGCTCCCGAATTGGATTTAAGTGAGGTAGAGTTGCACGAAGTCACCCTCACTCTCTCTTCCACAGTCATCTAAGTCCACTGGCAAGACAAAAGTCAGCACAGCTGGTGAGATGGCCCAGGATGCAGGGAATGACCCTAGCCACCTTCAGCTCAGTTGGAACAAATTGTTCTCACCTCCCCATTCTTCACATGCTTGATGTAGACATCCCCCTAACTCATCAACAAGTCTGAGGCCTCTTGGTTACTTACCCTCAGCCTGGTTTAGCCTGTTTGCTGAACCTGTTTTATCTGGGTGTGGCTGCACTTGCTACAGCTTCTTGGACCCCCAGGTGAGAGCTGGGTGGCAGGTGGACACCAAAGGTGGATGAGCAGCCCTGAAAAGGGTTCACAGCAAGCCCTTACACCAGAGGTGTTAGCCCTCCTGAACATCTCATATATCTCTGCCTTTAAACAGAATTCTGATGAAATACCATACTCCTCCCAAGTTTTTTCAAAATAATGCCCACTTCCCCCCCACCCCCAAACCTGTCTCAGCATTCTGACTTCCCAAAAGATGCATCATGATTCTGAACTGCAATCATGTTATAGAACACTGACAAGGTAAAATGTCTTCCTGCTATTAGAGGTTCCAACCACCAGATTATCCTAAGCTACCCCGAACTACCTCCTCCTGTAACACAGCCTATCCCAAACATTTCATTTCAACTACCATTTACTAGTCATCTGGCCCGAGCTGGCACCTGCTCATCTCAGGAGTGCCCTCTATGGTCCCCTCTCAAATGCTCTCACCAATAACTCCTGAAAACTCATTCCTATAAGAGACTTTCTAGATAAGGAGTTCTTAACCTGTTGTGTGTCCTGGACCCCTTTCTGGTGAAGCCTATAGACTCCTCAGAATAAGTCTGGCGGTGGTAGGTTCAGGTTTTTTTGTTCGTTTGTTTTTAATAATTCTCAAATGAAGGAAGTGCTAGATTTCAGGTTGGTGAAAACAAAGATATAAGTTTTCCCCCCGTGTAAGTTTACAGACCTGTTGAAATCTACTCATGGATGTCTTTGGGGTCCAAGGACTCAAGTTTTGAACCCCTAGAGGCAGCTAAATGGTACAGTGCACACAGCACTGGACCTGGAGTCAGAAAGGCTCGAATTCAAATGCTACTTCAGGCACTTACTAGCAGTGTGATGCTGGGCATGTCACTTAACTTGTTTATGACTCAGTTTACTGAAGTGTAAAATGAAGATAATAATAGCATTCCCAGGGTTGTTGTGCGGAACAAATGAGATGGATAATATTTGTAAAGTGATTAGCACAGTGCCTGGCACATATTAGGCACTTCAATGCCCATTCCCTTCTCATGTTTGCTTTCTTTTTTCTTCTTTCCAACTCTCCCCCCTCCAATCTAGAATGATTAGAGGATCATATATTTCCATCTGAAACTTCAGAGGCCATCTAGGTTCAACCCTTTTGTTTTATAAATAAGGAAACAGACATGGGGAGGCCAAGTGACCCATATGGGAAAGAATATGACGCAGGATTTGAATCTAGATCCTTTGACTTAAAAGGTGAGGCTTTTGCACTGTGTTTCTAGGCATCTCAAAAAGGAGAGCTTTCACCGGTACTACCTTATTCATTAACACCTCTTAAGCCACCACAAGAAAAAATATACTTAGTTTTGATATGCATGGCAGAGCACTGTAGCTATTTGTCTTATTCTAATGCTTGTCATCTACGTGTTTAAATCTGTATGATTCACCTAAAGGATAGTAGAAGGGACCAGACCTTTGATTTCATTGGTACACAAATTCCCAAGAGAGGAAACTGCTTCAACCGCCTTCAACTTCATTGCAGAGAATTGCCGGGTACACTGAGCAGCTGAGTGACTTGTCTGGGATCACACAGCCAATGTGTCAAAGATGAGACTTAAGCCCAGTTCTTCCTGATTTCAAGGCCAGCTCTTTAAATACTACTTTATATTACCTTTCAGAATTCATCTTAAGATAATAACGTTTGAGAGCACAGAAAACACTTAAAAATGTTTAAGTACAGCACATGACATGGTACTATATGAATAGTACTATAATCAAAAACAATTGAGTATAATGCATCAAAAATTATTGTCACTCACCTCCAAATACATATTTACAAAAGCAACTTCCAGACTATCACTTTAGAGGTAATTTGCAACTGATGGGGAAAAAAAGTACTTCTATTGAAGGCATTTTGAAATTTTGCTACAACTGAATATGAGAATAAAATCTCGAAAATCAATTTTCTACCTGTCTATAGTAGTTTAAGAAGCTGATATCAGAGCCATCTTTTTCAAAGGTGCTTCTTGGATTCTGTTCCCAGTCAATGTCATCAACTCTATATGTCCTATTGTTGTGTCTGTAGAAGGAATACATTTGGAGATTTATGACAGTTTAATGCCTGGAACCTCTCTACATGAAATAATACTTGAAAAAAAAAGTAGCCGCTGACTAGTTCTTTCAACAGTCTTCTCTAAGTTCTGAGGTCTGAGGATGATGTGTGATTAAAGGTCAAACTGTTTAATATTCAGTTTCTAAAACTAAAAACTATACAATTTCAAAATGAGCTGTAAATACATACATTTAACATAACTAGTAATGGGGCAGAAGATTCTGGAAGAGCTATGTCCTAGATACAGCATAGCAGCTTTTTGTCAATTAACAAACATGGGGCTAGGGGAAATAAATGACCCTCCCACAATGGGGCCATTTTCCCTTGCAGGAGGTAAGAGGGTAGGTGGGGATGATTCACATACAAACAACTTTTACATAAGGTTGCATAATTCTGAGGAAGAGAAAAGAGACAACCATCATTACTTCCCTCCTCTCTTGCTATTTTTTCTAATACCTTCTCTTACCTTGAGAACCTCTGCTACATTTTCTCCAGATTTGGCACTTAAGAGCACAAAGTTACATTAGATGAAACATTTGCTAATTTAAAAAAAAAACCCAAAACTTGGAAAACAAAGCAGAAAGACTTACTTGGTATAAACAATTTGCCCTCGTATTTCTTTCAAAATGTCTTCTCGGGCTGTGTATCTTCCAGATCTCTGAAAGTCATTTATGAGGTCTAAGACAGTATCCTTTCGGACGACTTTATGACTTACATCAGTGCACAGCATAATGTCATTCTCATACTGAAGGATAGAGGTAATGAAACCTGGACAAATATTCAACCTGTCAGACCAAATAAAAATTGCCTTCTATAATCAATGACTTTAGCAAATTGTAACCTCACTAGTAGGGCTATAGTAGCCCTAGTATAAGTACAAAAGATAAACTTACAAAGGTCAACATTTCTCTATCACTAAGAAAGAACACAAGAAATTGGCAGGGGGTGGGGAGGAAGAGGGGAGATGCTATCAATGATAAAACACATGAAAAAACTTGAGCAACCAATATATATTTCATAGAAAGACAACTATAAAGCAATTTTAACAGAATCAGCTCTAAAAGTCCAACTCTGATGCTTCACTGACATTGAACCTGGGTTCTGGAAGGCTATAAAATTGGTTAGGTGCAACCATGATGGAAAGGGTGTCCTGAGCAACAGGCTGCAAGAATTCCTTTTTCTTTCTTTCTTCTTTCCTTCTTTTTTTTTTTTTGGTATCATTAATACTAGTTCTCTTTTCCCTTCAATTCTACCCCCAAAGTTTTTAAAAATCCCTCCCTTGTAACAAAAACGAATTCAAAATAAATCCACACATTGGCTAAGTTAAAAAAATTATACACATACACTTTAATATTCAGTGACTTCAATGCAAAAGCAAGCAAACGTGACTTCTGAAACATAGGAAAATATAACAGCACTAAGAAACAAATGGTAGAGGACTTGTGACTTTATATCATGAATACTTTCTTTGAGAAGCACTGGAAGGCACTGAGCAAGGGAAACACCAAATATTACTTCCCCAAAATTAAAATGGACACATTTTAAAAGTTAGGCATTGGCTGCTTACTGATGTGGGAATCATTTTCAAATCAATTGATGCCACATATAATCAGAAAATTGATGTGTTAGAACAAAGAAAAATCAATACCAAACTAGGATAAAAATGAAAAGATGTAAAAACTAAGGCAACTGAATAACATATTTAAATAATCTACTGAATCTGAAAAAAAATTCAAAATGATTAACACAGACTATCACTATTGCCTAATGATGTTTAACCAATGTAAATCAATTGTCACAAGGCAGAGATCAAAAGAGCATAGACAAATATTTCACCCACTTGCCAAGAGGAGAAAGATAACAGCCAAGGACAATCATGGTTTAGAGTGTAAAGTCATCTGTAAGATTTACAGAGAAGAATGGTAGAAGATAATAAGCAGTGTCACTTGATAAAACAGCACTAAAGGGGAAAGTTTACAGAAAGCTTGGCAACTGAGCAAAGTCATCTCAAGGGCATCTTAGGACAAAACTGACTGAAGTAAAACAGACAGAAGAGAAATGGAGCTCTATTTTTAATGAACTCTTTGACAAGGATAAAGAATTGAAGAAAGTAAAGGAAACACATTTCAGCTCAACATCATAGATCTGTAATGTTTAAAATGTTAGAGAGAGATAATTTCTGGGTAATTTAATTATTTTATTAATAAGGCTAGCATGTTATTAATAAAAGAGGTCAGTGGCACTCTTGAATGCCAAAGACCCCCTCATGGAGGTAGGCTCACAGTTTGTATGCTTTTAGAAGAGCAGGTGTTCCTGAGGGAGGCAATCCACTGAGTGGCTAAAAATTATTGAGAGAATGAATGGGGTGGGTTATATTCACAATAAGGGTCTTGAGGTACACGACTTGGATCACTCAAGTCTTGGTCAAACAGACTTATCAATTTCCATATCACTGTCTGACAAAAGGGAGAATCCACATTTTCCCAGATCTATCTGAGTAAACACAATGAGCAGGAATCCACCCATCAGCCTAAACTTAGAATTTCTTTTCCTGGGTAAGTCTTTGAGAAAGATTTCCCACACTGGTGGATTTCTGGATGAGAGAGTAGAAAAGAAGAAAAATCTTGGCCCTGATTCAAAAAGTGGTATTAATAAGATAGAGAAATAATCATCTCTCTCAGATCCCAACATGCGGGACAAGGAAGGAGATGATGTTGTGCCCACTTTTGTTTTCTTCAGTGTCACTAAGCTGGATGAAGAAAACAAAAATGATGGTACCAGATAGGATAATTCTAGGGGCACTGAGAGATCAATTCTCAATGTATTTGAAGAAGAGGAGATATCAAAAAAGCTTGATAAAAAGTTTCAGACTTTATTACCAAAAAACTGGAGGCCAAGAAAATGTGCACCATCCCACACATCTACTTTCCCCATCTGTACAATATTCCATGACCACTACTACTATCACACACCCCTGACCAATTCAATGTATAGGACCAACTAAACCCGATATAGTAAAGTAGTAATACCACAATTACGTGCTGCTGATGGAGCAATGGTGCCCCTAAAAAGGGTTCTTGAACTTTCCCACAGATTTCAGCAGCCCATATTCCTGGCATTTGCCTGAGGCACCTGGTCCATCCCAGTAACTGCCCTTTCATCATGGCCCTCATTGTCAGCACCTGGTCCACTGGCCCACCCCAGGCTACTTGCCACTCCTTAATCTCATCCATATCTTCCCACAGCCTTTCTGTATAAAGTATCAATCTTATCCTCATCAAATTCACAGATTCCTTAAGAATCTGGCCCGCTTATATTGGTGTCACAAATACTACTCACTAGGAATCTCGCCCATCCTAACCGGTGTCTTAATAAATTCACTACTTAGACTGAAAGAAGGCATGAGTGGTTGAATTCTTCCGAGGCAGACACTTGCATTTCAGGGTTCCTAACACCCATAAACTACAACACCTCCACTTTCTCTCTTCTTACTTCTCACAAAACTGCTCTCTTCAAAGTTATGAAGGATCTCTTAGTTGCCAAATCCAATCCTTTCTCAGTTCTCATTCTCCTTGACCTCTCTGCAGCTGCTGACACTGTTGATCACTCTCTCCTCCTTGACACTTTCTTTTCTGTTTTTAAGACACCACTCTCTCCTGATTCTCCTCCTTCCTATTTAACCACTTCTCTGTCTCCTTTGCTGGATCCTCACCTAGATCATAATCACAGATATCCCACATACTGTCATTCTCTCTCTCCCTTTTTTTTTTTTTTTAGTGAGGCAATTGGGGTTAAGTGACTTGCCCAGAGTCACACAGCAAGGAAGTACTATGTGTCTGAGGTTGAATTTGAACTCAGGTCCTCCTGACTCCAGGGCCGGTGCTCTATCCACTGTGCCACCTAGCTGTCCCTATGCTGTAATTCTCAAATCTACCTATCTTGACCCTCTTCCACTGACCTACAATCTTGCATCTTCGACTGCCTTTCAGACATCTTGAACTGGATGTCCAGTAGACAACTTAAACTGAATATATCCAAAACCAAACTCCTTATCTTTTCCCTTAAACCCACTCCACCTCCTACCTTCCCTATTATTGTAAAAGATAACATCCTCCCAGTTCCTAAGGTTCACAACCTACGAGTCATCCTGGATTTCTCACTATCACCCCCTATACCCAAGCTATTGTCAAGGTCTATCAATTTCATCTTTGCAACATGTCTTGAATACATCCTCTCCACTGACACTGCCACCCCTCTAGTACAGACCCTCCTCACCTCACTCCTAGACAGTTTTAACAGCTGTCAGTAGGTCTACCTGCCTCGTCTCTCAATATTCTAGTCTATCCTCCATTCAGTCACCAAAGTGATTTCCTAATGTGCTGATAATGTCATCCCCCTAGTCAATAAACTCCAGAGGCTCCCTACTGCCTCTTGGATCAAATACAAAATCGTCTGCTTGGCATTCAAAGCCCTTTATAATCTGGTCCCCTCCTACCTTTCCAGTTTTCTTACACCTTACTTCTTTACACACACTCTTCAGTTCAGTGACATTGACCTCCTGGTTGTTCCACGAACAAGATAATCCATCTGTTGGCTCTGGGTCTTTTCATTGGCTATCCTCCATGCCTGAAATGCTCTCCATCCTTATCTCTGCCTACTGTCTTCCCTAGCTTCCTTTAAATCCCAACCAAAATGCCATCTTCCAGAGGAAGCTTCGCTTAACCCCTTTTAATTCTAGTGCTTTCCCTCTCATTTACTTCCTATTCTATATATAGCTTGTTTGTACAACATTTGTTTGCTTGTTGTTCCTCCCATTAAATTATGAGGTCCTCGAAGGCAGGGTTGTTTTTTTTGTTGTTGTGGTTGTTGTTTGTTTTTTTGCCTTTCTAATGCTTCATACAGTTCCTGGAACATAGTAGGTGCTTAGTAAATGTTTATTGACTGACTATTCAAGATATTTTTTAAAATACCATTAGGATATACTTCATAGGATTAGATGAAGCAATAAAAATCCCATGAAAGGTGAAACTGACAAAAATGGTAAGAGAAATTAGGGGAAAAAAAGAGGAATATATACTGATTATAACCAGATCTCATTTTGGTATTATATATAGTACATAATTTATAATTAATGTAAAGTCATAATTATCAAAGCCACCTAGCATTAGATGAAAAAAGCAAGTATTTCAATGTAATAGAGGAAACAATCTAGAGCTAGAACCAAAGGACTATAATAAATCAGGTATTTAATATGCTCAAGATCAAAGCAGGGAAGGAATTCATTATTTGGTAAAAGATTGTTTGGAAAATTGGATGGCAGTTTGTTGGAAAAAAATGCTTATTAGATTAATATCTCACAACATACATGACAATAAATTCTGAATAAATATAATATTCTATTATTTTCTAATTTATAATTCTCATTCATCCAAATCTGTTTTCATTATAATAAAAAAGAAAAATTCTCAACTCTATGACAAATAGAAGTTAAAGAAAGTGAAAGATCCACGATCGATGTATTTTTACACTAAGAGCAATAAATTCAAAATAAGAAAGAAAAAGACTCAGTTTTTTACTAATACAATTATATCTATTTCTAGGACATTTTTAGGTGTCAAACTTTTTTTCTAGGAATGTTTGTAGTAAAGATTTTTCTATTGTTCTCCAACAGATAAGTAATATTAAAAAAAAAGGTTTGATTAAAAGTTACCTTTGCCATTAACAGACACTAGACACTGTCTCCTAAAACAAAAAAAGGGCTCAAAGTTTCCTATAATAATTATATATTTTTAGAAAACTGAGAACCCAATCTATCCCAATTGATATTGCACCATTTAATCTAACAGTAACTATAACACTTACAAAACACACCACCATAATTAAGGGTTATAAGCTCCTTTTTCCTTAAAAAATAGGAAGTATTCTATTGTGTTAAATGCTATGTAGATGTCCATTCCTATTATACAAACCTTAAATCTCTCATGTCTTCTGCCCCATTGTAAATGTCATAAAAATTTCGTCCAATTTGTACGAGATTCATGGTATTCAAAAATCTAGAATTTAAAGGACAGTAAAATTTTATTATTTATGTTTGTTCTACTTTATTCCCAAGAAGAAAATAAGACTGATTGATTAAAATGAAACAATATTTATAAAGTGCTTGGCACACCTTAAAGTACTATAGAAATGCTAGCTACTATTGTTATTATTATATGTAAAGTGCTATGCAAACCTTAAAGAGTTATAGGTATGCTAGTTTTTGAGATGTCTACTACATCCCCCTCTCAAAAGAAGTTCCAGTAATAGTATTCACATATCTGCAAAGTGCTTTACAAAAATCATCTCATTTGATCCTTGGAAGGTAGGTACTATTAACATCGGGATAATAATAGCCCCTTGCTTGCAGGGTTGTTATGACTATCAAATGAGATAATGTGTGTAAAGGGCTAAGCACAGTGCCTGGCACCTAACAAGCATTTAATAAATGCTTTTCTCTTCTTCCCCTTCCCATCATTATTATCTCCATTTTATAGTTAGGAAACCAAGGCAGACAGAGGTTAAGTGACTGGCCCGGGGTCACACAGCTAGTAAATAAATGCCTGAGGCCACATGTGAACTCAGTTCTTCCTCATCCAAGTCCAAGAGGGCAGAACCCTGGTTTTACCTTGGCTCTCTACCAGTAATTAGCCTAGCCCTCTGTACCCAGGAAGTAGATAATGCTTACTGAATTGAGTTCAAATTACTTATTGAGAAAAAAAAATCTACCCAATACTTTCAATGTCGATCCTATGAAGTGGCTGATTAGACTCAGGGTCTATAGAGCAGGAAATTGGAACAATTATACTTTATCTCTATTACAAGCATCTTATTTCAGAGTGATCTTCCTTCCCATGAACTTATTAAGAGAAGGAGGAGTTGAAGTCTACACTGAGAATAAACTACCTATGAAATCTTTTACCATCCCCACATGTTTGGATTTCAAAAATCACAAAGGGTTACAGGGATGCACTTGGTTTCACTAATGTTCACCACACCTAAACATACCATGATCTGAGTTCAAGGAAGCGAAAAGGGTCAAACAAACCTTTTGAAAATAATATTGTAGAACTGTAAGCATGTTGGTGAATTAGGTAGAAGTTCATTGGTTAAAGTGATAGTTATCCTCACATTCTCTCCACTGTGTGTCTGACTAAACACTTCAGTAACCTGAAAAAAAAATAATAAAAAGTATGCCTAGTAGATGATCAAAATGGACAAACAATGACGACAATACAAGTAGCAAACAGAACTACGAAGTCAGTTTACTTTCTGAAATGCTCCCAAAAGCACGAGTCTCTTTTTTCCACAACTAGCCTGGATTTACAAGACAAGCATTTCAGAGTTAACCCTGAGGCAAACCTGATAGTTTATTAAATGAAAGTTATTTTCATTAAAAACAGATTCTAAGCCTAGCAATAGAAACTTAAAAAGCAAGAATATCCAATTATACAGTTTAGCTTTCTAAAATTCACCTCAAGCAAATGTTTAATGAAGGAACGGGTGATGTCTGGTTTAAAAATACTTCTGCTTTGAATTCAGGGGATGAGGAACCATAGAACAGAAGCAGAACAAGGAACCCAAATTTCAGTAACTGTGTCTGTATCAAGACTGTAATCGGCCTTTTAAACATACCTTTGGGGGAGGCGAAGAGGAAGAAGAGGAGGGTGTATCTAAAGTTTCATTGGCTTAGAGAACCCTCTGATGAGCAAATGCCCTTTCCCCATGAAGATGAGCACTTGTTCTGCAACTTAGTCTTAAGAGACACTAGGAGGTCAGTGACCTAGAGGTTAGTAAGGTTAGTTAACCTGGGGTACTACAAGGTTACAGTCACACAACTAGGATTTATCAGAACCAGGATTTGAACTTAGGCTTTCCCAACCAAACTTTCAATCAGAGTGGTTTTTTAAAATTACTTATGTATTAGAAAATAGTACAGAAATCTTTACTACTGACATTCCTGAAAAAAGAGTCTGACATCTAAAAACTGTTATTGAGTTATTTTTTAGTCATGTCCAAATCTCTGTGACCCCATTTGAGGTTTTCTTGGCAAAGATGTTGGAGTGGTTTGCCATTTCCTTCCCTGGATGAGGAAACTGAAGCAAAGAGGGTTAAGTGACCAAGGTCACACAGCTAGTAAGTGTCTGAGGCCTGATTCAAACTCACGAAGAGGAATCTTCCTGATTCCAGACCTGGTGATATCTACTATATTTAATTAGTGCAAATATGGGCCATCCTCCTAAAGTGAGATCTTTGAAAGCAAAATGCACAGGAAAACTCTTCAAAGTACAATTACAGGCTACAACTAGGCTTGCTATTACAGGACTTTGTCCATAGTAGGTACTTAGTAAGATTTGTTGTGCAAGCTAGACACTTTGGGAAGTGATGCAGAATTATAGCCTAGACTAATGTGGTGCCTTTATTGCAAAGAACTTTTTTATTCAAATTTACATGTGCTAATATCAGTATTTGAATTTAAATCAATCAATAAACATTTATTAAGACAAACACATTGTTAGGCTATGGAGAATCCAAAAAGGTGACAAAGAAAACAACAGGTGTTCCTGGATTTTAATCAAAGATCTACCAGCTATACTACCTTTGGGGACCACCTTAAAAACTGACTATACCATTACTTTATATTATATTTAACTTTTATCACAACTTGCAACTGCAGTGACTGGATCACATTTTCTTTAACAGCCTAAAAATGTAACACCAATCAAAAATATTATTTCACCTTGTTTTGTAGTCTATGGCATAAAAATAATATTGCTCCGTCAAAAGAATAACGTTTTCCTAGGAGTTGTTTGTGCACGTCAAGTAAAATGGAACGGAGTCTTTTGGAATCCATCTGTGGGTTGAAGTTAACATGGTACTGGTATAGTGCCCACTGGGGAAGAGCTGTCAGCCGGAAATGGTTTGTCTTCAATTGGACTACAGTCCCTGAAGTACCTGAAAGATTGAGCCAGATTTGAAAGACTGTGAGACATCAAACCTACTTATCCTTCCCTATCATTTCTAATGCTCTAATCTAACTGGATATTTTTCCAAGACTCAAAATAGCACAATACCTGACTCTTAGGGACACTAATCTAAAAGCCATCTGAGTGGATACAAAACTATGCCTTTAATATATGAATCTAGTCAAAGGTCTAATTTAGTAATATCAAAAGAATCCTATGAAAAGCTCAAGTCTGCAAAAGATTTTTGAACTACTCAATTACCTACATATTTCAAAGATTTGCACTACACTGAATCAGTTGTGAAATAGCAAACCAGCTTACTCTCCCCTGGCATACATTTTTAATACACTGTCTAAACAGGGAGCCGTCTTCCACAAAAGGGCAGAGGACAGTATCTCATCTGACAGTCAGACAACAGAAAAGCCCTCAGACCTACCTGATGGCTTAGCATGTCAGAACAGCTGTGTAAGAATGAATAGATGTGGGGCAGCTAGGGGGTGCAGTGGATAGACCTGAGTTCAAATCCGGCCTCAGACACTTGACACTTACTAGCTGTGTGACCCTGAGCAAGTCACTTAATCCCGACTGCCTCACCAAAAAGCAAAACCAAACCAAAAACAACAAAAAAAAGAATGAATAGATGAATGAATGGCAAAGCATTTCTTAACTGTTTACTATGTGCCAGGTACCGTGCTAAGCACTGATTGATTATACAAACCCAAGGCTAGCTAGACAGCTTTTGCCTTGAGAAGCTTATGTTCTAACGGGGGAAGATCAAAAGCTGGGGGATAGAAAATGTGGGTGGGAGGTGAAGATGGGAAAATAGGAGTATAGCAGCATGGTTTGTTAATGCCTGGAAAGTGGTGCAGTGCCCTGATTCTGGTCAAGATAAGATCACTATCAAAGCCAGTCACTAAAGCAAAAACAAAATCAAAATCTCAAAGTAGTAACACCAATTGAAAATATCACTTTATCTTATAAAAACAAACAAAAAAACATAAGCACACTCTTCTAAATTAATCTTCCTAAAAAAGTCAAATCCCTTTAAAAGGAAAACCTCTCTAGTGCAAAGGTTTCTAAAATTGAAAACGACCTATTGAAAGAGTGATATTTGGGACAGCCAGGATCCAGAGGAAAGGGATATTCCTTCAGAGTTAATCATAACGCTTGAGCCATGTTTAAAAAGAAACTTTGTGTTCAAAAAGAAACAATGGAAATTCTGTTTCCATAGGACAAATGCAGGAAAGGACAAAAGAAGGCCCAAATCTTCCAGGACCTTCTCATGCTAAACAATAAAACTGCTTAGGGTTAGATGCTGGACTTGTGACTTAACCGACATAGGGATTCCCACTCCCAACTGGGGGAACTCCCTCCTTTACATATCCAAGCAGGGAATCTTCCCAGCACTTTAGAGTCTTACAGTTAGTTATCTAGCGTCCTGAGAGGTTAAGTGTCTGGCTCAGGGTCACACAGACATTTTGTGGCAGGGCTTGAACCCAAGTATGTTGGCTTCAAGGTCAGTTCTCCATGAACTAGGCAATACTACCTCTAATAAAACTTAACTAGAAAAGAAAAAAAAAGAGTAGATAAAGTGAGAGAGAGGCCTGGATTCTGCCATAATACCAAGTTTAACCTATCCTTCTCAAGGTGTACTGTCACCTGGGTAGATACTGAGCACTAGAGAAAAGAGAGAATACCTAACTCCTGAGAAACTGACATACCTCTTTTGCACTCTATGAAATGATGTAGATTTTGCCGAGTATTCACACCAATGTCATGAATATTCTGTTTACCACGTCGTTTCTTCCTCTGTGTTGGTTCCATCAATCTGGCTGAGACTTGACCTTCTTCTGTTTGTGAAAAACAAAGTTAAACATTTGCTAAGATGTAAACCTGAATAGCATGAGTTCTTATGGCACTTTTAAGTTTTCCATTCATTCTCATTTTATCTGAATAAAAAGAAATAACCCCTTAGTGTTATTAAGGGAAAGCAAGTAATCAATAAATCAATCAATACACATTTATTAAATGCCTACTGTGTGTTAGGCACTGTGCTAATAGCTGGGGATACAAATAAAAAGAAAAGTCACTGCTTTCAAGAAGCTTCTGTTGTAATAGGAGAGACAAAATTTGAGAATGATGATTGATTGAGACAGAGATCTTGGTGAAGAATTTTCTAGCCACAGTAACTCATGAGGACAAGTAGGAGAGGGATAGTAGAGGGGACAGAAGGAGTTTAAGAATTCTACAGCTGAGACTGACTGCAAGCATTGTAGCTTATATACCTAGTACAGCTACAGTGGATAAAGTGCTGGGCCTGGAGTCAGGAAAGTTGTTGTTGTTGAGTCATTTTCTAGTCGTGTCTGACTCTCTGTGACCCCATTTAGGGTTTTCTTGTCAAAGACACTGGAGTTGTTTGCCATGTCCTTTTTTTTTTTTTAAGGCAATTGGGGTTAAGTGACTTGCCCAAGGTCACACAGCTAGTAAGTGTCAAGTGTTTGGTCTGAGGCCGGATTTGAACTCAGGTCCTCCTGACTTCAGGGCCAGTGCTCTATCCACTGTGCCCCCTAGCTGCCCCTGCCATGTCCTTCTTCAGCTCATTTTACAGATGAGGAAACTGAGGCAAACAGGGTTAAGTGACTTGCCAAGGGTGACACAGCTAGCAAGTATCTGAGGCCAAATTTTAACTCAAGTCCTCCTGACTCCAGGCCTGGCACTCTATCCACTGAGCCCCTTCCACCTCCTTTTTAAGGATTTAAAGGATTTAATTCCTTTTAAGGATTTAAAGGAGTCCTCAGACCAAAGAGTTTAAGAACCACTTCTCTAGCCCCATTCTTCATAGTCTGAGTAGAAGCTGAGGAAGCTTACGGCAGGAGTTATCTAGGGCTAAAGTTTGACAAGGCACAAGAGATAACAGGAAGGCAAGAATTCAAGAGCAGAGGATGGAGAGGATTCTGGGAAGATGGCAGAGTAGGTCAGAGAACTTTTGGCTCTTCAAGTTTCCTCCACAAAAAAGGCAGAACATCGCCTCAGAGCAGCAGAAATAAACATGGGGTAAAGCAGCTGTCTTGCTGAGACAATTTGTGAAGACCCCAAGAAAGACTTGACCTCCAGGGGCAGAGGTTTGACCTAAGCAAAGTGCAAACACCTCCAGGTCAACTCTATAGAATCAACAAACAAGCCCTGGGGACAGCTCGATCGAGAGGCAGCCTCAGTCTTAGAAACATTCATGTCCCAGATAGTGTAGGGGTCTGATGACTGAGTAGAAGACTGAAGGACCTTCCAGGGTCAAGAGATGCTAAACACAGCTGTGTTGACCAGATGTGTCCTAGGCTGTGGCTGCAGGGAGAAGATCTAGCACACACAGGGTGAGTGCAGTAGCAGAGGGGCAGGGATCCTGCTGGCTGCAGGCACTTGCAGGAGAGCAGAGTCTCTGGTCTCATTTGGGGCAGAGAGGACAACTATAGTCTGCAGCCACCAGATGGACCACAGGGAGTAAGATCGTTTTAAGGACAGTGTGGCTGGGGGTTCTAGCTGTGGTTTAGGAGTGGAGAGGAGAGCCCAAAGTTGGGCCCCAAGAAAGATCTCAGAAAATAACAGTGAGAAGGACCTGAGGCTTGCAGCATCGTTCCCCGTGCGTCAGGAATACAACTTGATTACACTAAAAGCTGCTAAAAACAAAATTAAACAATAAAATAATAAATAAACAAAAAAGGGCAAGCAAAGGAGAAAGAACCCAACCATAGACAGTTACTATGGGGATGGAGAAGATCTAGGTTCATATTCAGAGGAAGATAATGGAGCTAAAAAAACTACCCCTTTTTCAACAAGAAATGTCAAATGGTCCCAAACACAAAAAGAGTTCTTGGAAGGACTTAAAAAGGACTTTAAAAATCAAATAAGAGTATATCATCATATCATGTGCAAAGGGTGATAGTTTTGCTTCTTCTTTGCCTATTCTAATACCTTCAATTTCTTTTTATTCTCTTATCGCTAAAGCTAACATTTCCAGTATGATATTGAACAACAGTGGTGATAATGGATATTCTTGTTTCATCCCTGATCTTATTGGAAAGACTTCTAGCTTGTCCCAATTACATATTATGCTTGCTGAAGGTTTTAGATAGATGTTATTTATTATTTTAAGGAAGACTCCATTTATACCTATGCTTTCCAGTGTTTTTAATAGGAATTCTACCTATTGTAGAATTGGGTGTTGTATTTTTGTCAAAAGCTTTTTCTGCATCTACTGAGATGATCATGTGGTTTCTGTTAGTTTTCTTGTTGATATGATCAATTATGCTTATAGTTTTCCTCATATTGAACCAGCCCTGCATTCCCGGTATAAATCCTACCTGGTCACAATGTATTATTCTTGTGATAAGTTGCTGTAATCTATTTGCTAACATTTTATTTAAAATTTTTGCATCTATATTCATTAGAGAAATTGGTCTACAATTTTCTTTCTCTGTTTTGACTCTTCTTGGTTTAGGTATCAGCACCATATTTGTATCATAAAAAGAATTTGATAAGATTCCTTCTTTGCCTATTTTCCCAAGTAGTCTATATAGTATTGGAATTAATTGTTCTTTAAATGTTCGATAGAATTCGCTTGTAAATCCATCTGGCCCTGGAGATTTTTTCCTGGGGAGTTCATCAATGGCTTAGGTTTCTTTTTCTGAGATGGGGTTATTTAAGTATTTTACTTCCTCTTTTGTTAATCTGGGCAATTTATATTTTTGTAAATATGTATCCATTTCACTAAGATTGTCAAATTTATTGGCATACAGTTGGGCAAAATAGAGAATCCTAGAGAATCAAATAAACTACTTGAAATAATAAACAACTTTAGCAAAGTTGCAGGCTATAAAATAAACCCACATAAATCATTGGCATTTCTATATATTACCAACAAAGCCCAACAGCAAGAGATAGAAAGAAAAATTCCATTTAAGGTTACTGTAGACATTATAAAGCATTTAGGAGTCTACCTACCGAAACAAACCCAGAAACTATATGAACACAATTACAAAACACTTTTCACACAAATCAGATCTAAATAATTGGAAAAACATCAGTTGCTCATGGGTAGGCCAAGCTAATATAATAAAAATGACAATTCTACCTAATCTAATTTACTTATTCAGTGCCATACCAAACCACCAAAAATTACTTCATAGAGTTAAAAAAAATAATAACAAGATTCATTTGGAAAAACAAAAGGTCCAGAATATCAAGGGAACTAATGAAAAGAAATGCAGGGGAAGGTGGCCTAGCCATTCCAGATCTTAAATTGTATTATAAAGCAGCAATCATCAAAACTACTTGGTACTGGCTAAGAAATACAGTGGTGGATCAGTGAAACAGGTTAGGGATGCAAGATATAGCAGTCAATGACTACAGTAATCTACTATTTAATAAACCCAAAGACCCCAGCTTTGGGGATAACAACTCACTATTTGACAAAAACAGCTTAGGAAAACTGGAAGAGTATGGCAGAAACTAGGCATAGACTGAAATCTCATACCACATACCAAAATAAAATCGAAATAGGTTCATGATTTAGATATAAAGGCTGGTACTGTAAGCAAACTGGGAGAGCAAGGAATAGTTTACCTATCAGATTTATGGAGAACAGAAGAATTCATGACCAAACAGGAGATAGAGAACATTGCAAAATGCAAAATGGATAATTTTGATTACATTAAATTGAAAAGTTTTTACAAACAAAGCCAATGCAACCAAGATTAGAAGGAAGGTAGAAAATTGGGAAAGAATTTTTAGAACCAGCGTCTCTGATAAGGGCCTCATTTCTAAAATATATAGAGAATAAAGTCAAATTTATAAGAATACAAGTCATTCCCCAATTGATAAATGGTCAAAGGATATGAACAGGCAGTTCTCAGATGAAGAAATTAAAACCATTTATAGTCATATGAAAAAATGCTCTAAATCATTATTGATTAGAGAAATGCAAATCAAAACAACTCTGAGGTACCACATCACACCTATCAGATTGGCCAATATGACAAAACAAGAAAATGATAAATGGTGGAGATGTGGGAAAATTGGAACACAATGCATTGTTGGTGGAGTTGTGAACTGATCCAACCATTTTGGAGAGCAATTTGGAACTATGCCCAAAGGGCTATAAAAATGAGCATACCCTTTGACCCCACAATAGCACTTCTAGGGCTATATCCCAAAGAGATCATACAAATGGGAAGGGGACCCACATGTACAAAAACATTTATAGAAGCTCTTTTTGTGGTGGCAAAGAATTGGAATTGAAGGAATGCCCATCAGTTGGGGAATGGCTGAACAAGTTGTGGTATATGAATGTAATGGAGTATCATTGTGCTATAAGAAATGAAGAGCAGGCAGATTTCAGAAAAACCTGGAAACACTTGTATGGACTGATGCCGAGTGAAGTGAGCAGAAGCAGGAGAACGCTGTACATGGTAATGTCCACATTGTAGGATGACTAATTTCGATAGACTTAGCTCTTCTCAGCAATACAAGGATCTAACACATCTCCAAAGGCCTCATGATGGAAAATGCTATCCACATCCAAAGAAAGAACTATGGAGCTTGAATGCAGATCAAAGCATACCCTTTGCTATTTTTTCTCTTCTGTTTTGTTTTGTTTCCTCTTTCTGATGGTTCCTCCTATTGGTTCTAATTCTTCCTTACAACATCATTAATGTGAAAATATGTTTAATAGGAATGTATATGTAAGAGCCTATATCAGACTGCGAGCCATCTTGGGGAGGGAGGGAGGGGCATAGGGATAGAGGGGTAGAAAAATTTAAAACTCAAAAGCTTATGGAAGTGAATTTTAAAAAGAAGAAAAAAAAGATATAGCTCAAGTCTCATCTTCTATGTGAAGCCTTTCTGAATCCTTCAAATTACTAGTGCTCTCCTTCCCAAACTACACTCTACTTAAGTACTTTGCATATATTTGTATTTATCCACTTTACATTTATGGTGTCTATATGTTTATATGTATTTATTGTCTCCATCAGAATATAAGCTCATTGCAAGTAGGGATTGTTCTGTTCTTTGGGTTTGTATCCCTGAGTTTAGTAAACTGCGTGGCACATAGTAAGTGCATACAAAAAAAAAATCATACCCGGTGATTGACTGAAACAGGAGAAAATGAGGACACAAAAAAACCTAGAGAGGAAGATCTTCTAGTAATAGGGCATGGACAATAGGATTTTCTTCTTTAAAAAGAAAAGAAACATTCAATATAGTAGTAGAAAAGCTAGCTATACCAGTAAGACGAGAAAAAGAAATTGACAACATTAGAATAGGCAATGAAGAAACAAAACTATCACTTTTGCAAGCGATATGGTTTACATGGACTCCTAGAAAATCAATTAAAATATTTGAAACAATTAACAACTTTAGCAAAGTTGCAGGATATAAAATAAACAGTTATAAATCATTAGCATTTCTACATACTACTAACACAGCCCAGCAGCAAGAGATAGAAAGAGGAATTCCATTTAAAATAACTGTAGACAATATAAAATACTTGGGAGTCGACCTACCAAGACAAACCCAGGAACTACATGAACACAATTACAAAACGCCTTTCACAAAAATAAAAACAGATCTAAACAACTAGATAAACTGCTTATGGATAGGCCAAGCCAAAATAATAAAAATGACAATTCTGCCTAATTTATTTATTCAGTGCCATACCGATCAAACTACCCAAAATTACTTTATATAGCTAGAAAAAATAATAAAAAATTCATCTAGAAGAACAAAAGGTCAAGAATATCAAAGGAATCAATGAAAGAAAATGTGAAGGAAGGTTGCCTAACCATACCAGATCTCAAAGTGTAGTACAAAGCAGTAATCATCACAACAACCTGGTACTGGCTAAGAAATAGAATGGTGGATCAGTGGAATAGATTAGGTATATAATACATAATAGTAAATGACCATAGTAATGTAGTGCTTGATAAACCCCCACATCCAAGCTTTTGGTTTAAGAACTTACTATTTGAAAAAAATTGCTGTGAAAACTAAAATTAGTTTGGCAGAAACTAGGTATAAACCAACATCTAACACCATATTCCAAGATAAGATCAACATGGCGATGTGATTTAGACATAAAGGTTGATATAAAAAGCAAATTGGGGAGTATGGAAAATTTTACCTGTGGGATCTACGGATAAGGGAAGAATTTATAACCAACAAGAGAGGATTATAGGAAGTAAAATAAGTAATTTTGATTACATTAAATTTAAAAGTTGCCCCCCCCCAAAAAAATGCAACCAAGGTTAGAAGGAAAACAGGAAACTAACTTACAAGAAGTGCCTCTGATAAAGTCCTTATTTCTCAAATATATAAAGAACTGAGTCAACATATAAGAATATGAGTCATTCCCCAATTGATTAAGTGGCCAAAGGACATGAACAGGCAGCTTTCAGATGAAGAAATCAAAGCTATCTATAATCTGAAAAAATGCTCTAAATCACTACTGATTAGAGAAATGCCAATTAAGACAACTCTGACGTACAATCTCACAACTATTAATTTGGCTAATATCGCAAAAAGGAAAATGACAAATATCGCTGAAGATGTGGAAAAATTGGGACACTGTAATATACTGTTGGTAGAACTGTGAACTAATCCAACCATTCTGGAGATTGATTTGGAACTATGCCCAAAGGGCTATAAAATTGTACATACGATACCACAGTACACAGTACCATTAGTAGATCTGTATCCCAAAGGGATCAAAAGAAAAGGAAAAGGACCTGTATGTACAAAAATATTTATGGCAGCTCTTTTTATGATGGCAAAGAATTGGACACTGAGCACTTGCCTATCATTTGGGTAATAGGTGAACAAGTTGTGGTATATGATTATAATGGAATATTATTATACTACATGAAATGATGAACAGGATGATTTCAGAAAAACCTGGAAAGACATGAACTGATGCAAAGTGAAGTGAGCAGAAGCAGAAGAACATTCTACACAGTAACAGCAATATTGTATATAATGATCAACTGTGAATGACTTAGCTATTCTGATCAATACAATGATTCAAGACCATTCTGAAGGACTTATAATGAAAAATGCCATCCACTTCCAGGGAAAGAAGTGATGGAGTCTGAAAGCAAATTAAAGTATACTTTTTTCACTTTATTTTTCTTGCTTTTTTTGGCAACATGATTAATATGGAAATATTTGGCATGATTTCACATGTATTAGTGATATCACATTTCTTGCCTTCTTAACAGATGTGAGAAGGGTAGGAAGAAAGGAAAGAATCTGAACCTCAAAAAATATTTTTAAATGAATGTTAAAAATAAATTTTTAAAAAGAGAGAGAAGAAAAGGAAACAAAAAAAAAAACTCATAGTAATTTTTTTAATCCTGTTCCCACAACATCACCTGGAAGTGTGGATGCTCCCACCTCAGCTCCTCCTTCTGCCCCTCTTGGCTCTTCATGCCTAACAAGCTCTCTTGCTGGTGCCAGTGCGGATGCTTGTGCTGCTGGTGATAGAGCCAGTGGTGGTCGTATGGGCACTGGTGCCCGAGCCCAGGCTGGTGCCCGAGCCCGTCCTGCTGGTCGAGCCAATATTTCTGCACAAGTTGGTGCCCTAGCGGTTGCTGGTGGCTGGGCCGATATTTCTGCCCCACCTCGTGCCTGAGTTGATGCTGGTGCCCGAGCCATTTCTGGAGCTGGAGCTGGTCCTGGTGCTTGCCACCACTGCCATTGCCGTTGTTGACCCCTAGAGCTCCCATTCCCAGGCTGCTGACCCTGCAGTTTGTTTATTTACTTTTTTGCAATTAAAAATACCATCAAATCTCACATACCAATAGAGGACTCAGTTATGCAGTCAAGAAATGATATTTAAAATGACAAATACAAACTATCCCCAGAACAGGAGGAGTAGACAGATACAGCATGAGAATCTTAAAACAAGGGAAGTTAAGACTATTTGCACACCAAAAGACTTGTGTTCATTTGTTCCTCATTTAAATACTTTTCAGAATGGAAATACACTATGAGCTACCATTGGAACTTCTGTTTGAAAACTAGGGAAATAAGGAAACATGCATCATGTACTATAGTCAAATGACTTGTAAAGGAATCATTGGGCAGATATAGAATTGCAATAGCCTTTTAGGATTCTTTGGGGAGAGGCCGAGGTGGGGGTGGGGGGCAGGAGGGGTGTTGCTAGTTAGAGGGAAGTGGTCAGGATTGCCAATTATTGGTACAGGCCCCATCTATGGGGGCCTTAACAACAACTTAATCCCACTTATCCTCAATATGTAAGGAATACTGAATTCCCAACCACGCCCAACAGAAGACTATGGACGGATGGCTCTCAATATATCCACATTTATGGAAATGAGAGCACTCACCTCAACAGGTGCACCATTCTGGGCTGCCTGTGGTGGCCTTCCTCTTGCCATTCTGTTTTTCCTGGCTCGACCACTCATTTTTTTTTTCTAGAAATGAGCAATACACTAAACTTCACTTTTCCTTAATACTTCCTTGAACTTCTCTTATTTCGATTAAGCTTTCAAAATAGACTTTTGAAGAACATGTATTTACCAAACAAATACAACTTGTCTTTTTTACTTGAGACAAAGCATTCCAATCACCATAGGTAGCTTACCATAATGAAGAAAATTTTTTCAAATTAGTTCTAAGGTTGCAACTGGAATCTTCAATGGATTTATTTCAATACTGTGTTTAATAATATCAACACCTTATAGAAAAATCATCATAGAATTTAAAATTTTAACAAGGACTCTTTTCCCCTTTAGTTTGAAGGCCTGGGGCACAAGGAATGAAATATAGTCATGACCTCTCCCCCTCCTTAGTCATGAAAGAAAGTTCAGGCTAGAAAACTTAACTTTCTATTATTTGTAATTAATCAGCATTGGGTTTTATGAAGAGACAATAAGATCTAGAAAGATCTTATAAGTCATCCAATTTAAATTCATTTTACAGATAAGGGAACACCCAGAAAGGTTTAGGGTTAAGTAACTTGCCCATGATCATTAGATTTTAATTTGATTCCTCTAAATTCTGATCTAGCATTCTATTCTGCCATGCAATGAGTCACACAAGCATTAAGTAGAAACACCAAATTTGACTTGATCTTCTATCCACCAATCCTGGGCTCTTTGGGTTTCAAGTTGTTGTAAGTGGTAGACTTGAGAGCAGTTGTAGTCACGAAGAACTTAGTCTGAATCTACAAGATGGGTATTTACCATGGTTATGTTACTTAACCTAAGGCTCAGTTTCTTCCTCTGTAAAATGGTTACAATAATGGCGATAGTACTTATCTCATAAGAGTTGTAAGGCTCAAATGAGATAAGATACAGACAGCAACACACAAGAATCCTGAAACTGAGGAACAGCTATAAATGGAGGAAGAAGCCTTCATTAGCCCCATGGGATGTGCATGTTGGGAAACTTGGGGGGGCTCCCATCACCCCTTCCTTAACAAGGGGCTGGGCTTCAGGGAGGGGGAGCTAAGGACTTTCATTATTCTCTTCCAGGTCTGGGGGATGTTTCCCAGAGTGGGGAGAGGAGGACTCTTCAAACAGCTCCATCCATAATGGGAGTGGGAGGCTCGGAAGAGTTAGGGAGGGGGAGACTCTCCTGCCTGCCCCATCCACGAAAGGAGAGCCCCCCAAAGATCCACTGAATGGGGGAAGGGTGCCACCTATCAGTCCCTTGAGTTGTATTGCAGGCCTAAAAAAGGAAAAAAAAAAGGCAGTTACCCTCGGGGGATACAAGCCTACCTCCCCCCCCAACAAAATCACTCCCTTTTCCTCCTCTTTCTTCTTCTTCTTCTTTTTCTTCTCCTCCTCCTCCTTCCCGGGTGCCACCCTTCCTACCTCCACTGCCTCGCTCGCCTCTTTAGAGCCCTTCTAATTATAGCACGTGCTGGAGATTCCCGTCACTTCGATCACTCCGCCATCTCCTACTCTCCAGGACCCCCACATGGAGTAATTATCCCCTCTTCTTCTCTTTGTAAAATTCCACGACATCCCCCACCCACAATCTAGCCACCATTCTTCAGGACCTCGTCCTACTTGGGCGGATAGAAGAGTCTAGCCCTAGGATCTCTTTTCCTTCCCTGTGCGGACGGACATGACCCAGGTACGACCTTGTAGTGTAACCGCGCTCTACTCGGGCCCAGCTCCAGAAGGCCCCGCCCACAAGCGCTCGTGCTGTTCCAGGATTGGCTGCCTGGGCCCGTCGCCCCACGCTCTCCCTCTAAAGGGACGAAGCGTGTGGAGAAGCGGGCAGGCGTGGGCCTGAGGGGCGCACGGGGCTG